TCAAGCAATTCTCCTGCTTCAGCCTCCTGAGTAGCTAGGACTACAGGTACCTGTCACCATGCCTGGCTAATTTATTTTGTATTTTTAGTAGAGATGGGGTTTCACCATATTGGCCAGTCTGGTCTCGAACTCCTGACCTTGTGATTCGCCCAGCTTGGCCTCCCAAAGTGCTGGTATTACAGCTGTGAGCCACCGTGCCTGGCCGGTTTTCCATTTTTATTTATTTTTTCTATGGTAAAATTAGATAACTGTAAAAAGTATAGTACTGAACCTAGAAATACAGAAGAAGTAAAATTATGGAGCTGCTGTGATCAGAGTAGAGGGAAGATCTTTATCCCCAGGTTTCACTTCTACCTCTCAAGGCCTTTAGTGGAACCGTAGGAGAACATATTGTGAAAAATCACTGACCCAGAAAAAGTCTTTTACCAAAATGGGAGAGTGAGCCAGAGAATGGAATAATGTGGCATCTGATCACCTTTAGTTGCCTCAGGGATATCATGTCAGACTAACACTATTGACAAATAGATGCCAGAGGCATCAGACTAAGAGGAAACAAAACCAAAGAGAAACAGAGTCTGATAAGGTTGCCAGGTTCAGGTGCTGTTGACTTTCAGGTAGGCATAGTGACAAGTCCAGCAGAAACTGTGCTGCACTCACACTGATCTGAGCTCTGTGCTGCCTCCCCCAATTCAGTTCCCCATCTTCCCCTGCTAAACACTGTGGAAGCCTGTTGGACACAATTCTTTTAACTGCGGAGAAGTACTCACAGAATTCATCAGTGGATACTTACTGTGTGCTTGCTATTGTGGAGTATTCACTGGAGAGAGTCCTCCACTCAAAGGATATTTAGGCCGGGCACAGTGGCTCACAGCTGTAATCCCAGCACTTTGGGAGGCCGAGGTGGGTAGATCACTTGAGGTCAGGAGTTTGAGACCAGTCTGGCCAACATGGTGAAACCTCATCTCTACCAAAAAATACAAAAATTAGCTGGGTGTAGTGGTGCGCACCTGTATCCCAGCTACTCGGGAGGCTGAGGTGGGAGAACTGCCGAACCTGGAAAGTGGAGGTTGCAGTGAGCTAAGATCGTGCCACTGCACTCCAGCCTGGGTGACAGAGTGAGGCCCTGTCTGGAAAAAAGAAAAAGATATTTAGAAAAGATGTGTAAGATGTGATCGTATGTGCTAATGTCACAGGAAGTGGTGCCAAAGGAGTCAAGGGAAGAGGACCACATTCACCCAAGTTGGGTCAGGAAATCTTTAGGGAAGTGGCAAGACTTGAGCCTTCAAAGATGCGTGGGACCTAAGTGTTTTCAGAGAAGAGTAAAGCTCTTCTGTTTATTAATATTAATAATATATTTGTGATAGTAATTGATGATAATCTTTGTGTTTCAGTGATGAAGATGCTTACCGTCTTTATAACCTGGATGTTTATGGATACCAAATATATGATAAAATGGGCATTTATGGTTCAGTACCTTATCTCCTGGCCCACAAACTGGGCAGAACTATAGGCATTTTCTGGCTGAATGCCTCAGAAACACTAGTGGAGATCAATACAGAGCCTGCAGTAGAGGTGAGCTATGGATCATGGCTACGTGTCATACTTAAAGAAGAAGCAAAACCACTGTAGTGGAGTCATAGCTATTATCTTTGTAGTGGCACTTCTCTGCCACCAAAAGCTTTACAGTATAATCAGTGAATATCAGTAGTATCTACTAAAGGAACAGACTGTTACTTATATATGGCTGGATGTTGCAGGTTAAAGGGAAATTTCTCAAATTTTTATTCCATTCTTTTTCCAGTATACACTGTCCCAGATGGGCCCAGTTGCTGCTAAACAAAAGGTCAGATCTCGAACTCATGTGCACTGGATGTCAGAAAGTGGAATCATTGATGTTTTTCTGCTGACAGGACCTACACCTTCTGATGTCTTCAAACAGTACTCATACCTTACAGGTATTTGCATGGAGAAGTGCCAGTTTCTTGTTCTATTATACATCCTATATCCCATGTGTTATCACTGTAAGTTAATATTTGTTGCACACTGTGTAGAATTTATAACTTACCCAAACATTTTAATTAGCAAGCATTTCTATTCCCATCCTCATCCCATTCAGTTAAGTAAAACATTGCACTGCATCTAGAATGCTCCACTGTCTAATTCCTAATACTTACCATCTGCTTTCCTTGGAGCTTTTAGCCCCTGGGCTATCTCTACCTTTATCTCAGATGACCAGTATCCCAACTTCAACTTTTCTATGTTTTCTTCTTCATTAAAATATGCAACTGGCTTTAGCATGAGAGCATTTTATTTTAAAAGAATGCAAGCTTTTCTCTAAGATCAGAAACAAGACAAGGCATTGCATTTTTACCACTGTTATTCAACATTGTACTGGAATTTCTAGCCAGAGAAATTAGGCAAGAAAACTAAATAGAAGACATCAAAATTGGAAAAGAATAAATAAGATTATAGGAGATGATATGATCCTATATATAGAAAATCCCAAAGAATCCACAAAAAAATTACTAGAGGTAGTAAATTCAGCAAAGTTGCAGGGTACAAGATCAGTATATTAATCCGCTCTTGCACTGCTATGAAGAAATACCTGAAACTGGGCAATTTATAAAGAAAATAGGTTTAATTGGCTTATGGTTCTGCAGGCTGTACAGGAAGCATGACTGGGGAGGCCTCAGGAAACTTAACAATTATGATGGAAGGCAAAGGGGAAGCAGGCACATCTAACCTGGTCGGAGCAGGAGGAATAGAGGGAGGAGGTGCCACACACTTTTAAACAATCAGATCTTGTGAGAAATCACTATCACAATAACAGCAAGGGAGAAATCCGCCCCCATGATCCAGTCACCTCCCACCAGGCTCCTCTTCCAACATTGGGGATTACAATTCGACATGAGCTTTGGGTGGGAACACAAATCCAAACCATATCAATCAATAACAAAAAAAAATTAGTTCTGTTTCTATATACCCTCAATGAACAATCCAAAAAAAATTAAGAAAACAGTTCCATTTACAATAACATCCAAAAGAATAAAATACCTAGGAATGCACTTAACGAAGGAGGCGAAAGACTTGTACACTGAAAACTATAAAATATTCCTGAAAGAAATTAAAGAATGCCTAAATCAATGGAAAGATATCCCATGTTCATAGGTTGGAAGGCAATGTTAAGATGGCAGTAATACAGAAAGTGATTTACAGATTCACTGCAGTCCCTATCAAAATTGCAATAGCTTGTTTTGCAGTAGTGGAAAAGCTGATCTTCCATAGAATTGCAAAGGGACCTGAATAGCCAAAACAGTCTTAAAAAAGAGAAACAAAGTTGGAAGATTTATACTTCTGATAGGATTTAGCTGTGTCCCCACTCAAATCTCATCACGAATTCCCATGTTGTGGGAGAGACCCGGTGGGAGGTAATCGAATCATGGGGGCAGATCTTTCCCGTACTGTTCTGTTGATAGTAAGTCTGTCTCATGAGACCTGATGGTTATAAAAAGGGGAGTTTCCCTGCACAAGCACTCTCTTTGTCTACTGCCATTCACGTATGATGTGACATGCTCCTTCTTGCCTTCAGCCACGATTGTGAGGCTTCATGTGGAACTGTAAGTCCAATTAAACTTCTTTCTTTTGTAGATTGTCCAGTCTCAGGTATGTCTTAAGCAGATTGAAAATGGAATACAACTTCTCAATTTCAAACTTACTTCAAAGCTATGGCAATCAAAAGAACATGCCACTGCCCAGGCACAGTGGCCCATGCCTGTAATCCCAGCACTTTGGGAGGCTGAGGTGGGTGGATCACTTGAGGTCAGGAATTTGAGACCAGCCTGACCAACATGGTGAAAACCTGTCTCTACTAAAAATACAAAAATTAGCCAGGCGTGGTGGTAGGCACCTGTAATCCCAGCTACTCGGGAGGCTGAGGCAGGAGAATCAATTGAACTCATGAGGCGAGGTGGAGGTTGCAGTGAGCCAAGATTGTGCCACTGCACTCCAGCCTGGGTGACAAAACAAGACTCTGTCTCAAAAAAAAAAAAAAAAAAAGAACGTGCTACTAGAATAAGGATAGACATATAGACCAGTGAAATAGAATTGAGAATCTAGAAATAAACCCATACATTTATAGCCACCCAAACACTGGGATTACAGGCACAAGCCACAGTACTTTGTCCATGTCACCATTATAATTTCAGTAAAGGTTCATGACCATTCGATGAAGAAGAAATAGTCTCTTGAGCATATGGTGTGAGACAGTTGGATATTTACTTGCAAAAGAATGAAGTTGGACTCCTATATTCAAAATATGTTATATGTATAGCATATGCAAAAAACTAACTCAAAATAGATCAACTATGTAAGAGCTAAAACCATAAAACTCTCAGAAGAAAACGGGTCAATCTCCGTGAACTTGGATTTGGCAATGGATTCTTAGATATGACAACAAAATCGTGAGCAACAATGACAACAAATACGTGTTAGAATTCACTAAGATTAAAAACTTTTTTGCATCAAAGAACATAAGAAAGTGAAAAAGCAACCTACAGAATGGGAGAAAATGTTTGCAGATTGTGTATCTGATATAGGTCTCTTATCTAGAATACATGCAGAACTTTCTACAACTCAACAACAAAAAGACAGGCTGAGCACTGGGCCCATACCCTTCATGCTCGCCTGCTATACTGTCTGCCACTGAGGGCACATGCAACCCCTAGACCACAACCAAACAGTGACCCAGACTGCTACAGCCACCTTCTGGCACCATATCACAGAGCAGGGGCCCCAGGCTGCAGAGAAAGAGCTTGCAGGGCTCCTGGATAGAACTGCACTTTAGCAATGATAGGAAGGGGAATAGTGCTCCAATATCAGTTTCTGTTTATAATGGTGACATGGGCTGGACACAGTGGCTCACGCCTGTAATCCCAGTGCTTTGGGAAGCCTCCAAAGTACTTCTTTGAATTCAAGTAATCCTCTGCTTTGCTTCCCAAAGGAAGGCTGCAGTGAGCAATGTTCACACTACTGCTCTCCAGCCTAGGCAACAGAGCGAGACCCTATCTCTAAAAAAAAAAAAAAAAATTAATGTAATAGTGACATGGAAAAAATACAGCTGGATGCCTAAAATGAATTTGAATTTGGACAGAGTAGCTCCAAAAGTTCTATGACAGCCTACCTCTTTCACAGACATTGGAGAAAAATAGCTCTCAGTCTGAGGAAGATACCGAGAGAAAGAAAGACGTTGAAAGCATCTTGAAGAAAAGCTCAGGTTGGATATGGGATTGGTCAAGTTGGCCAGAAAATATTCCCCACAAGGAGTTCCTCTTTGAAGCACCTGAAGCACACAGCTACCCAGCATGGAATTTAAAGCCTGATGAGGAAAGGGGGCATTTTCTCAGCAGAATTTCAAAAGAGTTTTGCTGCTGTCTCATCTGGTGGCCATGGGATTGGGGATCTATATTGGAAGGCATCCGACAACTTCTACCAGCACCTTTTGATGAATAATTTGAATCCAGCTTTGTGCATATAGTGGGGATTTCTATCTGAGCTGGTGACACAGCTGACTCAGAAGCTGTTATGGTCCTTGGGTGGCTGCTTCACTTGTTTTTATTTGTTCTGCAAATACTGCTTTCCTAATTTAGTAAATGAAAGAATAGACACTAAAATCATACTGACCTATACTTATACCTATAGAATCAGTTAATAAGGGAGTCAGACTGTTTAATATCTACTGTTAACAATTTGGCAGTGAATTTTCTTTGGGTATTAGATATAAATATGTAAGTATAGTTTTAATATGTTAGTCATGATATAGTATTTTAAAAATTATCTGTAACCTTAATTCAGTTAAAACACTTTATATTCCAAAAGAATGAATGACAGTGATATTAAAATCACTACATTAAAGGGTTTGCCCAAAATAAATATTGTGGCCTTACTTACACTACTGTGGAAAATATTATGTTTAATTTAAATGGATGCAGGTTGTATACTAAAGACTACACTTAACTATGCTAATTGGGCTTAATAAACAGAAAACAAGTTACAGCTACAAATGCCACCATACACTTCATACACCAGATTATTCTCACTTTTGCAGCATAAGGACTTTAATGTCCAACTATTAGGTAATCAACTTGGATAATGTGTCTGTTGAAGGCACCTACTTAGTGTCTTTTCCTTTTTATCACTCTGGATTGCTGAATTTAATCCTATCCTTTGTGCTCAGCTTTTTTGTGCTGTTAAAATCAGCTTTAACCTAAGCGTATCTGTGTCTACTTTAAAAGACTGGAAATGGAAAAAAACATAAATATTTTCCATATCCTTTAAAAAAAGAAAAGAAACCATACTTTAAAAGACTAGAAATGGAAAATAAATAAATAAATCTTTACCAAATCCTTAAAAAAAAAAAGACAACCCAACTCTAAAATGAGCAAAGGGTTTAAAGAGATATTTCTCCAAAGAAGATAAATAAATGAACAACAAGCACATGAAAATATGCTCAACATTGTAAGTCATTAGGAAAATGCAAGTCAAAACCACAGTAAAATATCACTTCGCACCCACTAGGATGGCTAAATCCAAAAAATGGAAAAACATAAGTGTTTACGAGGATGTAGAGAAATTGGAACATTGCCGGTGGAAATGTAAAATGGTTCAGCCATTGCAGAAAACAGTTTGGCATTTCCTCAAAACGTTAAACATAGAATTACCATATGAACCAGTGTGATGGTTAATTTTATGTGTCAATTTGTCTAGTTTAGATGTCTCTGTGAAGATATTTTTTAATGAGATTAACATTTAAGTCAGTAGACTTTGAAGAAAGCAGATTACTCTCCATAATGAGAGTGGGCCTCATCCAGTAGTTGAAGGCCTTGGAGAAAAAGACTAAGGTCCCTGGGGAAAACAGAATATTTCCAGCTTGCCTTCAGGCTCAAGCTGCAGCATCAAC